AATAATTAGCGCTCTGTTTTCTCGGTCATTCTCTTTCATCATTAGCTCATGAAATTCACTATTTAGTTCTGCATAAATCCGTACTTTTAATGGATGTGAGTACGGATTATACTTATAGTTCTTGTACTATACTGAAATCCTCTTTTTTCTATTTATAACTATATTGTTTTGAGAATTTGCTCGATCCTGGAAAGCGCCTAATTCGTCACCGTCTATTTCGAGAGCACTGCGTCTTCGTCTACGGCAATTACATCAAGGATTTAACGATTCTTGGCAGAGATCTATCCAAAACAATTATCATCGATAACTCGCTGCAGTCGTTTGCATATCAGCTTGACAATGGCATTCCCATCGAAAGCTGGTTTTTTGAGCAAGACGACGAGGAGCTGCTCAAACTCATCCCTTTCCTTGAGCAGATCACCAGCCAGGTAAAGCACATTTTAACTGATACAACGTCCAAATCCTCGGCCCGTTCAGAGTCCATTTACTCTACCGAAGCGTGTTGTGATAAGGTGATACATACTCAGGAATAAAAAATGCACACACACACGCGCACACACACACACATATATACATATATATATATATATACGTCATACGTTTGGAGACAGAAAATAAGTACTAAGAAGAAATTATCGCATTAAAAATGGGAAGCGTACACGTCCAATGCAATAATTTACTTCTGTAAGAACGGAGGACAGAGTAGCAGAGCCCCCAGAAGCAACGATAAATCATCCCGCATTTTGATAATTTGTGTGCTGAAGAAACTTCTTTTGCATACTGAGGATGAAGATTTGAGCCGCTAGTTTATGTATCAATTGGTTGGGAATTGAAATCAAAAGACTACCCCTGAATCTATGTCAAAATAGCTGCAGATCAATTTTTGCCAAGAATACTAAGACTGCTCGGATTGTCAGTGTGGATATCCTCTGTTAGTAATGTTACTAGGGTGCTCCCATACGCCGAACGCAGCTATGCCAGGCCTTTCGATCCTGAGCAAAGAACATATCAGAAGACTTTTTTAGTTTCAAGACTCAGCAAATTAAAGAAAAAGAGAAGCTAGTCCCTAACAGTAGCATTGATAATACCGTGCATGAAGAAGTATTGCTGCGCCCATTCAGTCGACTTACTAAGTTTTTTAAGGTGAAGAGAAGGACCAAAAGACAGTTCTAGCAGGCACTTTGTGCAACAAAAGAAGTTTAAAAGAAGAAAGGGGAAGTTTGGGAAAAGAGAAATTTGGCACTAGCAGTGTCAGTACAATCAAATATGAACCAGAGAAGTTTGGTCCTTGAAGATAGCAACACTTCCAAGTAAGCAAAGCCTGAAGATGTGCAGCACAAACAAGCACGTCAAGTTGTTACCGCAGTTCGCGAAACAGAGACGTTTCAAGCCAATACTAATGAACTTTTTCTCGCTTCAAAGCAATACCTTTTGAACGGCGACAATAATTCGATTATTATCTGCTCGATTGCCAACGATTCGTCTTCTGAAAATATCGTGACTTCAGTTATAGTTATAACGGATCATGAATCAGTAACGTCTGAACAACTTGAACTGAGGTTTTAAGGCATGCCGATGAGGTTTGCACGCAGTCTTAAAGCGATATTTACAAGTGAAATTATAGTTGCCTCTTAGCGCTTTGCAACATTAAATAATTGGCCAACGTATGGGAGATACGTTTTTTGCATAGTTCTCCGCAGTTTTTGTCGCTGCCGGCACCGGTTTTTTCGGTAAATGCTTCTAGCTAAACAAATTAAGACTG